GGTCATTAAATATCAGCATTTCTAGAAACTTTGCATGCCCTGAGCTGGAGGGAGTGGCCTTGGCAGTTGATGGGGTGATTCTCAGTGATTCTCATGGGTCCCCTGGAGGAGGGCACAAAGCCCCCTCAGTCTAGGACCTTCTCAGGTGTCACAGCTGAGGTGCATCTCAGCTGAAGTCTCAGGACTCATGCACATTTACTCACATGGCCAGAGGGGTGATGACTGTGACCTCTCAGGGCACCAAATGTTGATAATGGAGCCCACCAGGACCTTGGGCCCCCTCACAGCACTGTGGCCTTTGCTCTTGAGGTGCTGGCTCACACACTTTCCTGGTCCACTGCAGGCTGGCAGATGAAGGAAGAATTTCTAGCGTCACACTCTAAGGGTGGTCTCATCACCAGGAGAAGGAGGAGCATCTCCTGGGAGCCTCTCAGAAATGTGCAACCCCAGGGTCTACCCACCTTTGAAAAAGGAGTCTGCATTTTCACAAATCCTCAGGGGATGCATGTAAAGTAATGCTTGAGAGACCCTCCCGTTGTGTGCCAAATGCTACCAACACCTTAACCAAACCTCCTAGATAGACCAGGGCTCATAAAAAAAAAAATTTAAATGCCAGACAGTAACCATTCTGGCTTTTGTTGGCAGATGGTCTCTTTTTCAACTACCCAGCATTGCCATTGTATCTTAAAAGCAGCCATAGACAATGTGAAGCAAATCAGAGTGGGTGTGTTCCAGTAAGACTTCACTTACACAGGTGGGCAGCAGGCTGTTTGGCCCTTGGCAATAGCTGTCAACCTCTGAAGGAAAACTACTCTGTGTGCACATGTAGCTGGTGCCCGAGTGCCAGCATGCTGCCAGCTCCCACCTCAGGCACCTATGTCTCCCCTACTTGGCTCAGGGCTTACTCTGTGCAGATGGAGCTCCCTCAGCAGAGCAGGTACACCCTGCAAGTGTTGGAAATGTCAAGAACGAGGGTCACCACCATTATCAGGAGGGAGGCAGGTAAGTGTCCCAGTCTCCCCAACCTCAGGGCACCCAATTCAGAGGAAAAATTTTACATCAGTTCTCAGAGCTTCTCTAGCAAGATGAATCCCCGTGGTCCACAGTCTGGGCTCTAGAAAGAGATGCTCACAGCCTCTACCTAAGGACTGAGTAATGTACTCTTTCCAGACAAGATAAGCTTTCACTTCATGAATATGACTTCAACATTTATCTGCAGCTATGCATAAATTTCAGAGGATCTAGAACCTCCTGAAGGCATGTTAAAACCCACCAGGATACTGACCCAGTAGGTGTGGACAGGACCAGTAAATTTGCATTTCTAACTTGTTCCCAGGGGATGGTGATATTCCTGCTCCCTGCACCACACTTTGAGTAGCCCACGTTCAGAATACTTCCCTGGGGTGTGGATATAGATCAAGCCACAAGTGAGAAGTGACTGAATCTGAAGGGCATTGGAGTGGGTTCTTGAGAATGATTTCTGCTGTGCACACTGGATCAGGAAGGCATCAGAACACCATTCCTGATGATAAAGAAAAAGGAGGGTTTCTAGACCCAAGGCATCAGTTTCCACAATAGTGTCCTAGAGAGGAAGGAGGATGCTTTGAACCTGAGAGTCTGACTTTGTTGCACAATCGTCCCTCAGAGCTGGGGGCTTCCCCAGGAGCTGCAACTCTCAAAACTATGTAAATGCCCAAGAAGTGACTGTTTAAATTTTTCTAATTTTTGTCATTATAAAAAGTCGTGTGATGAATATGTCTTTTATGTGTATTTGTGTGTATATATGATTACTGTTTCCTTGTAGGCAATGTGCTCAAAAGTCAAACTACTGTCTAATATTTTTTGACCTCCGAAGGATTATTAGTAAACATATTAAGATGTCTGCTGTTAAAGCAAATAAGAAGGCTGCCATTAGCCTCAGGTTGTCTCTGTACCTAGAGCTCCTCCATAAGCAAACCAAAACTTAGCTTGGAGGAATTTCTTGTGTCCGACATAAAAAATAAACCTAGCTTCAATTGATCACAAACAGCCAGCCAACCAATTGGTTATATAATTAGTGACCTCCATCACACCATAACCAAAGAAGAAAAATGCATAGCTATAGTCAATCAGATAACTTCGTTGCTTTACTACCCTGTTCAGCTTGTGAAAGCTCACAGTTCGTGCTGTTTGAATGGAGCTCTCCCAACCTCTTTCCGTTTTGAAAAAGAGAGATTAATGTTGAATGGTGGCCCTCTGTCTTCTGCTGACACGCCTTCAGAGATAGCAGCATCCACATGAGGCTGCACTGCCTCAGAGGGACTGCAGGGAGCCCAGCAGGTCCCAGTGCCCTGGGCCACTGCCCTCTCCTGCCCAAAACCCGGATCCAGTGCTCAGGAACTGAGGAAGGAAGGGCTGAGCATGTGCGTGTCCACGTGCACATATGTGTGTGCAAGTGCCTGTGTGTGTGCAGCATTTGGGGGATGGCAGAGGCTGCTGGGTGTAGATGTTGATTCTAGTCTATGAAAGGGAGAGGAACAACACTGGGGGCGATCGGTTTCCTGACTCACACCATTGCAGTGGCAGATGCCCCAGGGACCAGGAGTGGGGTCCTACATTGTGAAAAGTATGTGGTGATATTGGCGCCTGCCCCTCGCTTTGCGTTGAGTAGTATTCAGGAAATATGGTTAGAACTTGCCAAATCTGACGTCCCGTGGATTGAACTCTGTGAGCCAAGAAGGGGTTCTCAGATAACACTGGGGGCCAGTGAGTGGGATGAGTCCTCTCGTTTAACCCAGTAGCTGCTATGAACAGTCCTGTACAGGTTTTTGTGTGAACACATGTTCATTAGAGTGGGAAGTATGCCCAGGAATGCAATATCATGCTTAGTTTTGTAAGCACCTGTCAAACTGTTTTTGAGAGTGGCTGTCATGTTTCACATTCCCATCAGCAATGTGCAAATGCCCCAGTTTATTTGTCTTCTTGCCAGCATTTGGTGTTGTCACTGTTTTTTATTTTATCTGTTCTGGTGTTATGTAGTGGTATCTCATTGTGGTTTTAATTTGCATTTTCCTGGTGGCAAATAATAGTGAACATCACTGCGTAAGTGGATTTGCCACCTGTGTGACCTCTTTGGTGATGTGTCTTTTGCTCATTTCCTAGTGAGTCTGTTTTTTTGCTGTTGAGTTTGGAGAATTCTTTGCACATGCCAGACACTAGTTGTCTGATGCGTGTGTGGTTTGCAAGTGTTTGCTGCCACCGTGTAGCTGCCTTTTCCTCCTCTTCATAGAGGCAGTCATTGAACAAAATATTTAAATTTTGATAAGAAATAACTATTCAGTATTTTTGTTTACGTGTCATGATTGCATGTTGAGACTAAAAACTCTTTGCTGTGCACAGTATTTTCATATGCTATCAGTATGTATCCTGTGCCTCAAGAAGTTTGTCTTTCATCATTACTAATATTTTATATTCTCTCCCTCTCTCTGTTTCCTGAGTTTCCCTACTTCTAATAATCTTTTCACTCAATATTTGACATAGTTCATTACCTACATTCTTTGTTTAAAAATCTTGTTGTTTTATTATTTATTTTACCTTTCTGTATTAACATTTTGTTCTTTATTTTCTTATTTCTGGCTTTTTTATAAATGCTTTTTGAGGACGAATTTCCCTGTCATACCAAATTAGCTAAATTTCACGTTTTATATGGTATTAAATATGCTCTATAAAGATAAGTTATGTGTTATTTGGTAGTAAGGTTTTAACTTACAAAACAATATGCTTTAGTTGCATTTTTGCTATTTTTGTAGGTATTTACAACTGATATTTGCTATTAAGTTGTTACCAATTTATTTTGTCATTTTGCTATCAATTAATTTTTCTAATTCAATTTAATAAACATTTTGTAGTATTTTTCACTGCTAATTTGATTACATTATCATGAGGAAATGCAATTAATCTAAAACCATCAGCCACAGCTTTATTGTTCAGTTGTCAATATCTTTCTACTTTTTAAAAAAACTTTAATTTCATAATTACTAGACTGTTCTTTTAAAAACTTACATTCTATGCACAACAATGTAAATGCACTTTGAATTACTAACCTGTACACCTAGATATGGTGAAGATTGTAATTTTGTATTATTTGTATTTTGCCACAATTGAAAATTTTTTCACATTTTGTATTGAGTAGAGGGATTTACAGGCTACTGAAGTGGACTAGTTTATGGTACCTATTGATTCTCTGTGCCCTTGATAATGTTTAGCCTCCCTGACCAACTTCTAGGAGATGTGCTAGAATCTCCCAACATGGCTGATTCTCCTGGTGACACCAACACTTGATCCTCAATTATGCCAAGTCCACGGTGGCATTTGCATGTAGGTTCACGGCTATTATAGCTTCTGGATGGAATTTTTTCTTTTATCATCATATAACCTGCATCTGTATTGCTAAGGATATTCTCAGCACTGGACCCAATCGTGTACCATGTTACTATGCTATAAGAACTCTCTTTTTATCACCAACAACCAGGGTTTTAATGTGAGCTAAGATTTCTGTACTTGGATTTGATACTCTTGTTATTATGGGGGTGTGTTTATCCACCTTTGCCCTAACATGTGAGAGAAACCTGATTAGGACCCTCAGTGAATCTGTGGTTCAGAAAGGAAAATGGACTCACCGTGAGTATCAGGGTGACCAGTCTATGGTTCAGGTGGGTGGGAATGTTCCAGTGAGTGAAGAGATAGAGTTGGGGGGCCCAGGTGGGCAGCCTGGAGAGGGGTGGGGAGGGGAGCGATCGCCTGTCCCTCAGTACCCGTGCCTGTCCAGGGCTCCAGCCCACCCCTTGCACCTGAGCCCGTCTCTGGAGGAATTCCCCTCCCTGGGCAGACACACAAGTCGTTTGATAATCACAGTGGTGACAATAAGTCCAGGATTTTACGCTTGGCTGTTAGTCTTGGTGGTAACTCTAAGCCCTGCCTTCCCTCCTCCCCAAGGCAGTGGCCCAGGCCCAGACACGGTGATGACGAACGTGCAAGTTCCCAATGTACCCGCAGTAGAGATAAAGAAAGAAGCCGCCAGTGCAGAACTCCTGACCAACGCGTGCCACTTCTCAGTGAGCGCAGCACTTCTACTGCAAGATGACAATTGGCCCCTTCAACAACAAGCTATTTAGGGAGGAATGGACGATGCTATATGCATTTGTGGAGTGGACAACTGAGGTGCAGAAGGCTCAGGGCAGTGCAAAGGTGCGGGATCAGCTCTTGGCCGAGCTGGGCTGGCTCTCAGGTCTCCAAGGCCAGGGCACCCCCAGCTCCCTGTGGTCCTGGGAAAACTCAAGTGAATTCATCAGGTACTGTCAGCTGTTGGAAGGGGTGCCAAGGATCTCATTGGGTGAAACCAAAAATGGCACCTGTCACCCATGGCACAGGGCAGATGGGTCAGCCAGAGAGTGGGAGACTGCGCTGTGCGCAACACCCTGAGACCAGGCTCCTGCCCTCACCCTCCATGGGCTCAGAGTCCCACCTGGATGCTCCTGTGTCCCGCAGGCCTAGGAGGGGGTGTGCACATGCTCCTGGAAGTGTGTGAGCCTGGACATGGTGTCTGTCACAGCCACTTTCTTTCCATGGTTCAGAGCCCCCTCAAGGATGCGCTTGTGCCCAGCTGTGCTCAGGAGCAAGTGACCTGGTGCAGAGTGCATGGCCTCACTTCTGTGTCCACACCTGCCTCTCTCCCTGCATCCCCCAGCACTGTGGGGTTTCTGTGGCTGTCCCCAGATTTACCAAAACACATGTCCCCACTGACGGAATCCAACCACCAGCACCTCCTGCTCTTTCTCACATCTCTTTGTCACAAGGCGGCTGTGCCAGTGGTGCAGGCCCCAAGCCACAACACAGCAGGGAAATGAGGCCCGAGAGAGCCCTCAGCCCACGGCCTGGCCCCTTGGCCAGCAGCCGGTGATTCTCAAGCAGGGGGTCTGGAGCCTTCTACCAGCCCCCTTGCAGCGCTGCTTCCCATCACCCACATGCTCGCTCCTCCCATGCACCCTTTAGTCGCTGTCCCTTTCTGTCTCTGCCCCTCCCTTATGGTGTGTCCAGGGGTCAGCTTCTACTTATACCCCTTGTGTCCTCGTTGCAGTGTTGATTCTGGGGTATCCAAGCAGAGGCCTCCTATGACCCACGGAGGCACTGGGAGTGGTTCTGGCTGCGACTCAGGCCCAGGCCCCTCCCTCCCATCGCTGGTCCTTCCCACCCTCCCTCCTGGGTGGTGACCTTCCCTTCTGGACAGGACGTGAGTTAAACAGCTTTGGTAGAGGAGGCCAGGCCAATGTAGGGGGGACAGGGTGTAATGGCAGAAATGAGGCCAGAAGGAGGAGTTTGTGCACAAGCAGATGAATTAAGGACAGGACCTGGGCCTGGTGGCTCCAGTGGGAGCTGGGCTCGGACGGGAAAAGGCAGGGGGTAGGGGACACCTGCAGCATGTCGTGTCTGCCTTGGAGCTGGGCTCTGCCCTGGGCAATGCTGCTGTTTCTTTTAGGCTTCCAGCTCCTGGTGACTCAGTCCTGGCGTTCCCAAGAGCAGGAGGACGGTGATGAGCAGGTCCTGTCTGCTTACCTCCCTGCCACGGTGGAGTTCGCTGTGCACACATTCAATCTGCAGAGCGAAGACAACGCTGCCTACAGGCTGGAGCGCGTCCTGAGTGCCTGGAGGGAGAAGGTTGGTGACCACGACCCCCCAGCCCTGCCCTCCTGCACCTGCTGCTAATGAGGGACAAGGGGGGGGTCTTATCAAGGAGTCTTGCTTCCCCCTTTGTGATTTATACATGGGTGAAATATAACCAAATCAGGTCAGTTTCAGTTTTTATAAAAGATTTAATTAGGATTTTTAAAAAACTTGATTCGAAGTCTACCCAATTCTAGATATATTATTCAGTCTTCATAATTTTTATGATGCTGTTTAACTGAAGAAAGACTTCCAAATAAGAACGACAAAAGAGATGAGGCTACTGAGTAAGGAAAAGAGCCCCAGAGAAAATGTCCATAGAGAGAGATTGAGAAGGATTTCAAAGAAACGAAATGAGAGCGATGATTAGAAAACCAGAGAGATAGTCACAGAGAGAGGAGACAGGGGGAGGAGGGAGGTAAAAGGAGAAAGAGGGACAGAGAGACAGAGAGAGACCTAAGAGAGCGAGCACCTGAGGACTCACGGAGCGCTAGGGAACGTCCCTCAGTCCGAGTGGCCACTGTGTGGTCACTTCCCTTTCTCTGACGCCTCCTGCTCTGGGCAGACGACCCCAGCCCAGCACACAGCTGAGGCCTCTGTGCATACCTGAGTGCATTGCTCTAGCTGGTCCTGCTGCTCCTGCTGTCTCGGGTGGGGACTCCCACGTGGGGCTCCTGGCTCTGTGTGTTGCAGCCAGGCTGGTGGTTGGGACAAATGGTGGGATTGGAGGATGACATGGGATGCAATGAAGGAGAGTGGAGTGCAGAAGAAGAAGAGCAAGGAAGGCTTCAGAGCACACTTTGTAAGGGGGCAGATGGTGTTCCTTGAAACCCTGGTTCCAGTCGTGTGCCTGTGTGTGGTGGCAGCAGCCCAGGGCACGTTCTTGCTGGGGGTCCGATGCAAGCACTGACAGCACACTGTGCATCGGGCTCCCTCTCTCGGGGCTGAGATCATCCATCAGAGGCTTAGAGAGCCAACACATCCCCAGGCACTTGGCACCTGTCCCCCGAGGATGCAATCATAGGCTGAGACCCCTTCTGAGAGTGAAGCGGGGTCTCACCCTGGAAGAGTGGGGTGTGGGGCTGGGGATGGGTGCTGTGGTAATGGAGAGTGACTCAGCCTGTGTCTTCTCCGTGGCCTCCACCGTGCCCACCTGCCCTTTGCTCTTAACTCCCCAGCTAGAGAAAGTCCCCCTGGGTTTTACCTGGAGAGAGCTGAGGCCAGGCCCGTGGGAGAATTCCCAGTGAGGACAGGGTCTGGGCTCTCCCTACATTGGATGCATCTGTCTGCACGATCAGCTTCTCAAGGGCAGCAGGAGGGGTGAGTCCACGTGAGCCTCTGTGTTCAACAGGATTATTCCAAGCTGGTGTTCTCCATGAACCTGCTGCTTCATCAGACCAGGTGTGGGAAATTTCAGGAAGACATCGACAATTGCCCCTTTCACCAAAGCCCAGAGCTGGACAAGGTGAGACAGGACACCAGCACCTCATGTACACAGCTGTGGATGCTCCTGTGTGTGGACAGGGTGAGGTGTGGAGCAGCTGACGAAGCTGTTCTGAGGGGCGTAGAGGAGGAACCAGGACAGGCTCTGCCAGGCTATGCTGTTTGTGCCTTAGTGGGGAGCCCAGCCGGGCAGGCAGCCCAGGGGTCCATGTGCAGGCCCCTGGCCACTCTGCATTTCCTGATTCTGCTCACTCATAACATTGCTGCTGCCTGCACCCCAACCACATGGCCCTCGGGGTGCTCTCATCCCCTTAGGTCCTGGTCCGCTGGATTCTAATAGAGCATGTCCCCTCTCTGGTCTTCATCTCTGCCCCTCCCCTGTCTTTTGCAGAAGAATCCTGGTGGGGGCCCAGCATCACCTTTGCCTGAGTGGATAGTTGCCAGGGTCCACCGATCCTGATGCAGAGCCTGAGGGGGTGGAGGCTGAGGAGGGGCCCCACCGCCTTCCCTCCCTGTTTCTGCCTGGGCCCTGCTGAGCTGTGGGATCTGCTCTGGGTGACAAAGACAAGGTGGAGACAGACACTGGGGACATCGCTGCCTAGGCTTAGCAGACACTCTTTTCAGAGGATTAACTAATAGGTTAACTAACTGTTTAAATCTGACAGCAGCCCCTGCTGGAGCAAAGTGTCTCCTGCTGCTCTTTGGGGAAGGAATGACAACAGACAGCTGGGGGCCCCCCTGGAGGCCACTGCCCGGAGAGGGGGGATCTGACACGGGTGCCTGAGGGTCAGGTGGAGCCCCAGATCATGCTGAATGCTCAGAACATCCCAGGGGTCAGGCTGGGTAGCCACACCTGAGGGCCAGAGCCACACCCCCAAGCTGTCGCCCGGCATGGGCAATGCTGAGAAGGAGGCTGGGTTCAGAGCAGGAGCCACACGCTTCCCGAGACTCCTGCACCCACCGTCGCTTCCTGCGCTTGTTCCCTGCAGTTCTTCATCTGCTTCTTCACCGTGGACGCCGTGCCCTGGGAAACACAGTTCAAACTCCTGAACAGGACCTGCTCGGAGGGGTTCCCCTGATTGAGATCCACCCCCAGGCCTGGCCATACACTGTCTTGTCTTTTCAATATTTAGTAGGTCATTAAATATCAGCATTTCCAGAAGCTTTGTGTGCCGTGTGCTGGAGGGAGGGGCCTGGGCAGTTGATGGGGTGATTGTCAGCAGAGCAGCCTGGTGGGTCCCCTGCGGGTGGGCTTCTCTCAGTCTAGGACCTTCTGAGGTGTCTCCTGCTGGCACAACTAAGGTGCGTCTGAGCTGCTGTCTCAGGGCTCATGCACTTTGACCCACACGGCCCGCCCCCCAGGGCACCATATGGGCACGATGGAGGAAGACAGGCCCTCCAGCCCCCATACCCCACATGGTGTTTTCACAAATCCTCAGGGCATCCATGTGTCATTAAAGAATGAGAAGTCATGATGGGCCAGATGCTGTTAAGTCTCTGCCCGAGTCCTCTCGACCAAGGTTCAGTACACATTTTCCGTAAAGTTCTACAGAGTAACTCTTTTGGCCTTTGTGGGCTCTATGGTCTCTTTCTCAGCTACCCCACATTGCCTTTGTGGGTTGAAAGCAAATCAGAGTGGGCGTGTGCCAGTGAGACTTTACATACACAGGTGGGCAGTGGCTGCTGGCCCTCGGCCTTAGCTGTCAGCCTCTGAGCAAGAGCTCCTCTGCATGCACCTGCAGCTGGTGCCCGAGTGCCAGCTTGCTGCCAGCTCCTGCCTCAAGCACCTGCGACTGCCCCAGCTTGGCCCAGGGCTTACTCTGTGTGGATGGATCTCCTTCAGCAGAGCAGGTACATCTGGCAAGTGTGGGAGAGGTCAAGTGTAAGGGTCATCACCATCCTCAAGAGAGAGACAGGTGAATGTCCCAGTCTCCTCAGCATCAGGGCACCTGATTCAGAGGCAATTTCCACGTGGGTCCTTAGAGTCTCCCCAACAGGAGGAACCCCGGGGCCCACAGTGTAACCCACTGAAAACAGACCCAATGGTTTTGTTCCTTCTCTGTCTCCCTCTTTCACTTGTGTCTCCTGAGATCCTCTCCAAATAAACTGTACCCTCAGTCTGTGTTTTGGGGTCAGCATGAGGGAAATCAAATCAAGACATGTGGTCTGTCTGGACCATCGTCTTGGAATGCATCCTCCCTAGAGACAGCTGGGTGGGGGAATGCCCAGGCCACGTGCTCCCAGGCAAAGCCACAGGGAGTGCCAGCACTGAGGTGGGCACCGCCCTGCCCTACCTTGTCTCAGACTTGAGCAGGTTTTTCTTTAGACCCTCCCACCACCTCTCCTGCCTGCTCCCACCCTGTCTTCCCCTTGACCATGGCTCTGTCGGCAGAAAGAAGCTTAGAGGAGAACTTTATCCACTGTGATGCCAACACGTTTTCCATAGTCCACCCCATCCATTCCACTCAAGCCCCATCTCTTAGGCAGTTCCCAGGAGTGGGTCTCGTGGGGGATCAGCTCACCAGGGGAGTCCTGGCTCAGGACCCTCTGTGATCACAGCCTTGTTGGTGGGGCTGGGGGGGAGAAGCCCACAGGATGGCATCAAAGCACTGGCTCCTTGTGGGACATGCTAGTTCCTGGCTGACTCAGTTTACATGTGTGGGGTTTTGTCAGTTTTCTGTATCCCCAGAAGGGGGTCTCCACAATGTCCAGGTTTTGAGGTGGTCCCCACAGTACCTCTAGGTTTCAGAGTTTTGCATGACATGGGCTGGGTGCTCAGGCCCTTTGAGATGATGGATCTAGCACTGAGGCCTGCTCCTTTGGGAAGATCTCTCCTACCTGGCCTTGCCCATCTGTGCCTGCTCCTGGAGGTGGCCACCTGGTCGCTTCTCTCCCTTCAGGAATCTGTGTAGTAAGGAATGAGGACATTGGCCCATAGATACTGAGGGTGGCCATGGGGTAGGCACCTGGCCAAACCTCATGCCAGAGGCTGAAGCCAGAGCCATGCTGGGAATAGCTGGTAAACGGCATCCCTGGCCCAGGCCCCAGGAAGGAAAGGGGGCACAGACTGCCATTTAGTGTCATGAGCTCTCTCGTTCTCCAGAAATGTCAGTTCTCATCCAACCCTGCACCCTCCTAGCTTCTAACCTCCCAGCCTCAGTTTCCTGATCATTTACACAAGGATGACAACCTCTGCTTGGCTGGCCTCAAAGAGTTGCAGCTGAAGCCAAATGAGGAAGTAAAAGAAAATAGTCAGATTAGTTCTAAATGCTCTCCATGCACACTCCCCCATTCTGCACTGTGGCCACCTCCCCATCTGCTAGTGGCACGTGTGGGCACTGTCCTCATCTCTCCCAGGGGTCAGGGCTGGGACACAGCTCTGGGGATATTAAGTATAGGGCTGAACACAAAGTAAGAATGATGTGGAGAACTGGGGAGGTCTCTTTAGCCTCCTGAGCTTCTCCTTGAACCAGAGGAAGGGCAGATGGGGCCTGGGGAACAAAGGGGTCCTCATGACATAGTGAGTCACATCCCAGCCGAGGCTGTTCCTGCCCTGTGTGTGGTCTCAGGATGACTTCTGCCCTCCCATTTCTGCACTTCAGGTGCTAGGTCTCAGATTCCCTCGTGCCCTGGGACATCCTACACGTTTGCAGCGCTGGCTCCCTCTGGCCCTTCCTGAGCACAGGAAGGGAAATGTCAGTCTGTTCACATTGCTCTAACAGAATATCACAGACTCGGTAACTTGTACAGAACGGAAACTTATTTCTCACAGTTCTGGAAGCTGGGAAGTCCAAAATGAAGGCACTGGTCTTGTCGTGTACCCACATGGTGCAGGCTGAAGGGCAAGCTGTACCCAAAGACTGTGCGAAGCCTCTTTTGGGAGGGCCTTAATCCCACCCATTAAAGAGAAGCTCCCATGGCCTAATCACCACGTAAAGACCCCACCTCTTAATACCGTCACACTGGAAGCACCTGAATTGTGGAGGGGACACACTCAAACCACAGCAGGAGCATGCCCTGCTTTGTAAGGTGAGTTTTCAACTCTGTCTTCCCCTTTTTTCCATATTATTCATGAGCTAAGGAAAAACAATGATGTGCTGGAGTGGCAACACTTCTGTCATCCACGTTTCACCTAAAGAGCGAGGTCTCCAGAGTGGCAGGCGAGGGTGGGACCCCACATCACTCTGGCTGTCCCGCCCTGGCATGGCCGAGGCTGACGAGGCTCTGGTACAGAAAGGGCCAGCAGTGAAGTTGTCCCTTGAGCCCGTGTGCCTGCACATTCCAGATCCCCTCATGCTCACATAAAACTGTCACCAAAAGTGGGTCAATAAAATCTCACAAGTTTCATGAGTAAATAAAACTGCCTTGATCCCAACTCTTCATCCTGACTCTGGCTCAATGGCTTGGCAGGGGCCAGGCAGTTTTGTGGAGTTAGACCTGCACCAACACACTGCCCGTACTAGCCCGGGGGGCCTTAGATGGGGCAGGAAGTTTTGCTCAGCCCCAAGTCACACAACAGGTGTCATGGCTAAGATGGAACCAACCAGCCCAGGGTGTGTGAACAGCCCAGGTCCCTCTAGGTGTTCAACCACACTGTCAGGGCTCAGCAGAGAAAGCCCTTCTCTATGGGCTGTGCATGGGGCCGGGCAGGGCTGGCCAGCTCCTGCTGAGGAGCGAGAGAGCCAGTGGCCTGGAAGCACAGGCTGCATGCCCATCGGGCCCAGGGCTGAAGGGCAGAAGTGGGTGGGACAGCATAGGTGCAGGTAGCAGCACAGCGAGCCCCATCCTGAGGTGGGGAAAGAACAGGACAAGAACTGCTCCGATGTGTCCTCAGAACTCTGCGAGCATGCAGGGGAGGGGGTGGCCAGGGCAGCGGGGAGCCCTGCCCTCCGTAGAGCACAGCTGCTGGCTGAGGCCAGGGACGTGCAGGAGAAGGGGTGCTGCTGCCTGACGCACCCAGGCAAGCCTCACATGTCCAGGAGGCCCCTCACAGTGGACCTGGGCTCCACTAGAAGGTTGGTTTTTCCAAAAGCTGACCTTGACGCAAAAATTCAGCTGCAACTAGCTCTTTTAGATGTGATCCTAGAAAACACCAGGAGGGCAGTGAGGCATGAAAATGGAGAGAAAAAGCAGGTTAGCAATGTGGGCGACTAGGGTTTAGTTGTGCTGGGCACCCCTCAGAGACTGGCTGGGCCACACCTCTGTGCATCTTCCTGGGTCAGAAGGCCCAGGTATTGAGACTCCAACTTCTGCCACTGGCTGAGGGCTCCTCCCAGGGCCATTTCCTCCCCAGCACTCGAGCCTGTCCCTCACTCACAGAGAAAGCCCCCAGCAGAGAGGCTCTGATGGCTGCAGGTGGCCCTGCCAGAGAAGCCTCTGGGAGGGCTGTCACTCAGGTGGCCTCTGAGCTTCTGCATCTCTTGCTCACATGTCTAAGTTAGAGCCTGAATGGCCTCCAGCTGCACAGCACGGCTGTAGTCGCCAAGTTCAGTTTTCAGAAAGTGCCTCTTTCTGGTCATCTTGTTCCTTTTCATCACCTCAGCCCCCCCCCCATGCACACGCAAACACACATGTACATTCACATGCACGCACGAGTGCACGCACATGCACACACACATGTACATTGTGGCCAGCCTCTAGAATGGCATCCAGTGATCCTCCCATCCTGGTCCTCACACCCTGATATAGTGTCCTGCCCCTTTGAGACAGGACTGATCCATGTGACCAGAACAATAACACAAGGAGGAAGCAATGACTTGTGACATCCGAAGTTAGGTTACAAAGAATATTCTGGGTTCCATCTTGGTCTCTTGTACCACTCTGTCTGGAGGAAGTCAGCCACCTTAGCACACACACAAGCAGCCTTGTGGAGAGGCCTCCTGGAGAACAGAGAGCTCCTGTCAACAGCTGCTGCCCATCTGCAGCCCTGTGTGTGAGCCCCCTCGGAAGCAGATTCTCCAGAGTCAATCAGACCTTCAAATAAAGGCAGTGCTGTCAACGTCTGAGTGTAACCTCATGAGATGACTCTGGAGCCACCCAGCCAAGCTACCTCCAGATCCCTGACTCACAGACTCAGCGA